AATTTCACGAAAGCAATTTATGTAAGTGAAAAATTGTTTCAATTTTCGAATTTTATATGGAAATTGACAGAAAGTAATAAATTATTTTCCATTTAAATTACTGGTACAACCGGCTGCTACAATAATGTTTGTAATTTAAGTGTGGGTCAGGAGAACGTATTTTGTTTCATTAAGTAAAAGACGTTTTTTGGCAAATTATATGAATCGTGTGAGTTCGATTTATTTTTTGACGATTTCTTCCTGCATCGATGATTTTTATTTGATTTTTATTACGATCTGGCATCTCTACTAAGAAACCTCTTTTCTGATAGTTCCATCTCACTCACACCTTTCACATTTCAACCGACTTAACGTGGCCTGGATGAGCGTCAGGACACTTTTTGTAAACCTAAGTTTAAATAGGTTTTCCTAGTGATCTCAACGTCAAACGAGAACGCATAAATAAACGAAGTTTTGGACTTCTCGTAGATCGTTGTGACAGTCCTAACAAGAGTTATTTTAGGAAACTCAACCTTGTAGGGCATACTGAAGGATAACATCGGTAGTACACATTGGGTGTATTTATTTGAAAATAGGATCATTAAAGAATCCTTAGTCTTCTATTTTCATGCATTTTATGTCGGATAGCTGCAGAAAATTCGAACAAGACTCATTTTCTAAAGGTATGTCTAGACAAGTTAGCATAGTTCCTTTAATAGCTACATAGGCGGAGCGGAGACGCTTACAAAGAGTAAAGCCGGGACTTGGCTTTTGACCACACCGGCGCCATAAACGTGGTGTAGTATAGTTATTGACTAATAAGCTTAAAAGATCATATAGTGTAGACTTACATTTCGAAACCTAACCATGTACACTTAATATGTTGCTCAACCTCCTATATGAGAAATTGTGACAGCGGTTGGTGAAAACTTAACTCACCGTATGAAACAATAACCTGTGAATTTTAGATACTGAAGTTACGGCCTTGTGGGAATTTTATTCATCGAACTGTCAAACAGCTGAAACGGATAATAAATAAAACAAAAATTTTCGCATTTGGTTTAAGTTGACTTAGGGCGCTGTTACGCAGGCGATCATATGATCCCTTGTCACGGCACTTTTTATCTCGTTTTTTCCATTCTTACTCTCTTTGGCCAACATGCTGTTGTGCAGAGGGTCAAATAATCAGCGTATTTCTTTGGCCTAGTTGTATTTCATTGGTCTATTTTTTACTACTTTTTACATTTTTGTTATGAAATAACAAAAAAATAAGAAATATGTGTATAAAAACATGTCAAAAGCAAACAAAACAAGGGTTGCTAGCATTGAGTTTATTCTACATATGTACTACTTTGTATACATCTGCAGCAAAAATGTACCATTCTGCTACTAAAAGGATAAATAGCATGAAAAATACTCCATTTCGCTACTGAAAGGAAAAAATAGCAAATTGTATGCACAAGCCAACCCTTTTTTTGATCAGTGATTCGGTCTAAGCCGGCTGGTCGAATTTGAACCAATTGGTCATTGGTCACAAGGAATATTTTTCATAATTTGTGTTGCTGGATTACTTAAGTATTGTCATAACTCAAAATGTTATGTAGATTTTGGTTTAAATTTTCTTTTTTTTTCCATTTCTTGTGCGTCACTTTATAATTTTTTGTTTTTCTGAGGGCTGAGGGCCCTTGGGCATAAATCCTAACTCATGACAGCCTCAAAATAGAGATGCCGATGCTGTCCACGTGTACCTCTTTCACGAAATGTAAAAATAACCTTCCCATTTTTGTGTGACATGAAACTCACGCATGAAAACTACTTCTGTCAATTACGTTGCTTTTTAGATAAGATTTCTTTTTATTCATATGTTCCCTCATCCAGTTCTGTTTTAGGCATCTCCATCTCAAATTACTATCTTAAATAAGAAATAAGCTTATGCTCATACTTCTGAGCAAACAATAACGCATAAATCTAAGTACTTATATATAATTAAAATTCAAGCATTGGAACAGAGTTAGCTACAAACCTCAATTCCTGTTACCGATCCGGCTGGCGCTAATGTGGATTGCTGTTTCTTGCATCTACGCGTCCCACTCGCACTCACCGTGCTGGCCACACTCAACGATGAGGAAGAATGATGGTGGTGGCCCAGCTGATATTGTTCGTACTCTTCGGGTGTCGTGATTTCTGCAGGCTTCTGATGTAGACCGCAGCGAGAGGCCGTCATGCCAGTACCCGTTTTCATGAGCGGCGCCACACCGATAAGCGTGCCAGTACCGCTGCTGTAAAGTGAGTTGCAGGAGGATAACGAAGTGGGATCGGTCGAGCCGGGACCGCCATGTCCATCATTTTGTGAAGATGAAGCAGACTCATAAGAAGAATTGACTAAAGTAGAGTTGGGCGAACAGGAGCGTTCATATGACGCCGAAGGATAGCCATCGACATTCATATAAACAGGCAACGACGTGCCGCTTACTACAGCGTTACCCTTACTGCTACTGGACTGGCGCATGGAGTTTTTGTAATTAACGCTATTGACGAGATTTGCACCGCCACTAGCGGCGCTATGCTTCGAAAGCTTCGATCCTTTCGGCGTTTTAGGCGGCGGCGTGTCGCCCAGCACCGTTGCACCGCGCGTGCTGCCCGGCGGAGGTGGCACAGGTGTGACGCACTCATAAGAGCTGTTCGATATACCGGAATCGCTGCGGTAGATGCTTAGCCGTTCTGGCTCAATCAAATTGAAATCATCCTTCTGCTGGTGTTGGCGATGGTGATGTTTTTTCTTGTGGCCCGATTGTCCAGCTTGTGCGCTGGTGCCGCTCGTGCCGCTGCCACTAGCCGTGGGCTGCGGGTGCAGCAATATGGTGGCGGTGCCACTCATACCACCAGCAGCTGGCGATGGATGCGCCTCTACGGCACACTCGTGCACCTGCACCGCGGCCGCGTTATCAGCCGCCAAATTCTCATAGGCAGGCGGATCATAGAAGCGCATCAATGCCGATGATTTTATCTGATGTGAGGTTTGTTGGGCGCCCGGGCCGACGGAGTCAATATCGCCAATGCTACCACCAGCAAAAGAATGATGTCGCTTGCACTTGTTGCTATTGTTGCCGGCGAATATCATAGACGTATTCAACACGCCACTCGCGGGCGACTTATGCGGCGGGTGAGATGCTTTGCTCTTACCGCCACCGCCGGTGAATTTCAGTGAGTAGAATTTCTTATCCTCCATTTTGCCATCAATCATTGGTTTGCGCTTACCGTTGCGTTGCATTGAACCAGTGCCACTTATGTCCAATATGTGCGGTTGATAAGCATTATCGGCAGGGCTGTTGCCAGTGTCATATTTTTTGAAATTGGTTATGGCCAGAAAGGGATTTGTACTGACTGCAGTGGGCGGTGGGCATGTGCGCACGCCGGCAACATCAGAACCACCCATATCAAGACCTGCTGCACTCGCGCAGCTACGCTCCACCACTGCATATGTTGGGTAATCGTGTTCGATGGCATTCAACAGCTGCGCGCTGGAAGTGTTATTCGAGACGCTACTTTGCTGCTTTTGCTGCTGTTGCTGGTGATAATATTCGGTGTAACTCTTCGGAAAGCAATTATTCAGATTGTATGAAGTTTGATGGGGTGCAGTGCCACCGATGCCGCCGTTCATGTAACCGCTGCCACCAGAAGCTGCGTGGCCTGCGCCACCGTTGTCGCCGCCGCCGATAGTCTCGCTGCCATCCGCCATTGAAGTCAACATATGCTGTTGGTGATGCTGCAGCAGCATGCCTTTGTTGTGGGAATTCATTGTGTGTGCTTGCTGGTGCTGTTGGTTCGTTGCCATCAAGCGTCCCCCGCCCCCAACATATTGCATGGTATTGTACTGATGTTGTTGCTGTTGGTGTTGATGATATTGAAATTGCTGGTCGCACTGGTCCTGTTCGTATTGTTGCTGCTGGTGTTGTTGCTGGCCAATATTTCCATTGAGTCTCTTGGGTCGTGGAGCGACGCGCACCACATTGGTGTTGTTATTAAAATTTGTAAGAGTCGTAGAGAACTGCGAGCGTGCGGTCAAATGAACGCAGGATCGTAAACATGAAGGGCGGTTAAGGTGTGTGTGGTTTAGTCGGATAATTTTAGTTGTTGTTTGTTTTTTTCGTTATGCATTTCATTCACGAAAGCGAGGCGTGTTTGCATGCGGGAGAGCGAAAAAATGACAAAATTGCTTTGGATTAGTTTTTGTTATGCAATGAATTTTTGAATTTTTTTTGTTAAACATGTTTTCTATTTTGTTAGCATATAAATTCAGAATTAGTAAGGTAGCATACATATATATACATACATATTTTTTGAAAAATACTGCAGCTCTTGACATACTTTCAAAACAACATGTGTAAATGTGTTAGTAAAATATTAGGAACACAAAATATAAACAACATCTAAATACATATAAAGAAGGTGAATAGCTAAAAAACTTAAACTCAAAAATAGTAAATAATAGATTTGCAGATAAATGTGTAGATAAATAAAATACCATCATATGAGGCATGGAACGACGCAGCTTTTGATTTTAGTCTACATTTTATATTACATTGTGTGGGATATAGTCCCAAGTACAGTGTTCTACGAAAGTAGTCGGGCAGCAATTTTAAGCTTTAAAATTGACTATGAACATAAATCCTTTTACATTCACACTTAAACGTTTTAATGCAAGCAGTAAACACATCTATTTATACGTAAAATAGTTCTAGTAAACAAGTTTTTAAAATATGTGGGTATTGGTACTCGGTAATTATAAATTTGTTTATTATTTAGAAACTCTTCCAGATATACCTTTTGGGGTTATCTTTTGTGCTTGACTGAAAATTTTCTTACATTTTCAACATTTTCAAACTCGTGAACTTAGGTTTCGTAACGGGAGTAAAAACTATAAATATAAATTGATAAAAAAAAACCTGAGGATTGAATCTCTTTTGAGGTGGGTTCATGCATTAATACATAACGAATCAGTAGCCTTTGAGTCTAGTTGCTGGGCAGGCAGGCGGCATTGGTGAAATATACTGGTATTGATCACTTACATGTTTTTAAAATAGGTAAAAGCTATGAAACTATACATATACATATGGTAAGAAATGTCAGCTCATCTTCCTATTTTACTTGATATAGGTTGGGAGAAGAATGGCGTTAGCGCAATTATTAGCGTCGTACTTTTGTTTGTGGTGATCACAAGTGAACTTCCTATTACCGGTAATACAAGCCTTTATCTCATTCAGTTTTATCGGGATGACCTTGTGATTGAGCGAGAGAAAAGTTCTTCAGGGAGGTCTGTGGAAAGACACAAAGAATTGATGTCAAATCCGACAAGAAAAGGCGAAAGGTAAATAATCGCTCTCAACGTTGCGGTGGTTATAGGTGTAAAGCTATTTATTCCGCGAAAGTTAAATATCGGGGGTTAATTCTATATAGAAAACTAACGTCGAAAACCCAAGTTGTGCTAACCAAATATTGAAAGTTTTCAGGTAATCTCGGAGAGCTCTTAACAAAGGCTTCGGTCCCAACGGTTTTCTTAGAATAACATCCGAATTTTTTTCCAAAACGGTAACGTATTAAAAAACGGGTTCTGTGGAGGAAAATTTATGGTAAAAATATTATTTTTTTTTTAATTACGAGTATATCTATTTAATTTACTAAAAGTTTGTTTGAGAATGTTTTAGTCTGTTAAAAAGATGCAAGATACACATAAGTATATAAATGCATAAATGCATTTTATATTGATAATTTGAGGCCAGCAATAGGCACGCGTTTAAATAAGATACACGTAAAGTTTCAAAAAAGTCTGCGCCAGGCAAAGCGTTGCCCATCATCGTTTTAGGCTACGTTTATACAGGAGGCGAAGCCAAGCCGAGCGAAGCGAAGCTTTCAATTTACTGAAGCTGTATGAAAGTGTTCATACAGCAAGCCTTTTCAAAAGCGCTTTTGAGCTGAAAGCAAAGCAGTTTTTGATTTTGAATTTCTATTGGACTTCTAAGTTTCATCAAACTGCTGTGAACAAAAAATAAAAATAATTTAAAACAGTCTATTTTTTGATAAATCTGTTGAAGCAAATCGCACAAGTATTTTAGCTGCTTTTCATACAGGATACACTTGTTGATATTTTTACTGCCGATTCCGTGCGTAAAGCTCCGCTCCGCCTCATGCTGTGTAAACACCTGAAGCTTCGCTTCGATCCACGTTGCTATGCTCGGCGCTGCTCTTCTGTGTGACCGTACCCTTTGACATTGTTTATAAGAATTAGAACCGCTCGAGTCTTTACAAATTGGAAATTTTTGTTTGTTATTTTTGCTCGGTAAAAAGTGACGATTTTAATAAATGCCCGTCTCTATATCTTGTATTCTGCTTTAGTATAGTGGCGTAAAGCCATAGGAAAATCCGCGACATCTACATGTTTACGTTATACGGAGAACAGTGTATCTAATGGCAATATAAAACCCAGATCTTAACAGTGTTGCCATTTTGGTGCTTTTGGAGCTAGATTTAGCTCTTCATTTATCTATTTGGCTCCGAAAATTGGGTTTTAACTCCTAGCTCTTTTTTAGCTCTTCAAATTTATCTAGCACTTTTTTAGCTACAGAAGGTTTTCGTTGTATATGGTATATATAAGCCAAAACTTGAGCGTTGATAAAATGGAAAATTTCGAGATGAAGTGTGTCCACCATAAACTCATGGATCTAGGTTAAAGAATTCAAAAATTAATTAAAAGAAAATCCTTTTTCTGATAGCGCTGATTTTGTTTTATCTTACTAATGTTACCTTTGAGGAGAGTGGAAGTAAAACTTTCCAGAAAAATTTTTCGAAAAAATTATTCAATTCAAATATCTGAAATTACATACTTTAACAGTTTGTAAGCTATTTTTAGTTCACTGTTAAAAGTGCCATAGCAACGAATTCGAAATATATGCACCTTATTTTGGTTTTAAAAGATTTTTTCAGCACTTAAACTTATAAAATTCGTTTTTATTAAAATTGCCGAAAATGTAAAAACAACCTTACGTCAATAAATGCTCAACCTTAACAAAAATATTTAGCTCTTCATGTTAGCTACTATTAGTATTATTTAGCTCTTTTTAGCTCTTTTTTCGACCGTTTTAGCTCCAAGCGAAATTTTTCTCTGCCAACACTGGATCTTAATGCTCTCTTGGCCTTCTATCCCCATCCTTGGCAATCCAAGAGGAGCCAATGAAGATCGCATGTCAACTTCATTAATTTACAGAATAGATAATTGTTAAGAACGATGTCAAGGAATACCTAAAATAATAAACTGATATCTGTAGCCTCCTTTGGAAGAAAGTAACACATTTAAGGCGTATTCATCGTTCGAGTTCATAACTTTTCGCCCATGTGGTTGTTGTTTGTTTCTCTGGGAGAACAACTGGGAAAAGCTCTGAAGGCTTTTGAGTTGTTGAGTTAACTTCAACTTTATATGTTTATATGCTGTAGCTAAGTGTGCAGAAGTGCACGCAGTTGTTCGTTAACTTGCAGAAAGTCCAAGGTACGCACACCGTCAGACGCAAATGTTAAAATGATACCAAAAATTTCTGTTGTAAATATAAATTTTGAGTAAATAAGCTTCAGTAGTTACTAAAATAACGCAGTTTTCGTATTTCGAAAACTACCGTTATATGGGAGGTAGGCGTGGTTAATGTCCGATTTTGCCCGTTGTCAATACCATCCGTGCTACGCTGAAAAGAAGTGCGCATACCAAGTTTCGTTAAGATATCTCGATTTTTACTCGAGTTATCGTGTGCACAGACGGACGGACGGACGAACAGACAGTCACCGCTTAATCGATTTCTCTTTTCATTCTGATTATTTATATATACATTTGTCTATATCCATCTCGATTAGTTTTGCCTATTACAAACAACCGTTATGTGAACAAAGTTATAATACCCTTGTGCACAAGTGCGCTCGGGTATAAAAATGTTACCAGTCCTTGTCACCGCGATTCTAAGTACGTTGTTAATGCAGTCAAAATATTAACATATTATTATTATTATGTAAATAAATTGAGGTATTTCTGGCATTGCATATTTCACGGGGAAATACGTTGTTACCAAGCTTATGAGATGGTATAAACATTTACCGGTTACAAGAGTACACTGAATGCGAAAAGGGTTTAAAAATTTACAGAAGCTTTATTTACAAGTAAACCTTATTTGAAATAATTGTGGTATCTTTAAAAAAAATATATATATATATGTATATATTAGGGCGGGTCGATTTGTAGGGGCTCAAAAAATTAACAGAGGCACATAGCGATTATGATTATTTGGGTAATTTCAAGCATTTTTGCCCAAGAAACCATAGGTCTAAAACGAATTTCGAATTGTCGAGGAATCCATTTATGGCATTAATATTTTCTTTTGAGGGCCGGCAGTGGGCCGAACATTTTAGGCTATTTAAAAATTGAATTTGCATTACGAGAAAGTCAAATTTCGTGGATTTTCGCAACATTGTTGTCGATTTTCGGAAAAAAAGGCGTTTAAACCCAATAAAAAAGTTCGGAAGCGCCCTCTGGCGGCTCTCAAAAGAAAAAATTAATGCCAGAAATGGATTCCTCAGCCCCAAAAACCCCCAGATACACATTTTGGCTAGTTTTCAATTCAACTGTTTCAACAGGTGCGCCACTTTTTGAAAAAAAAAACTAGATAGAAAAAATCGCTGGCTCGAAAAAAAAGGCTTGAAATTACCCAAATTACCATAATCGCGATGTGCTTTTGATGCAAAAAATTTTACCCCCTCCTTATATATAAACATCACTAAGATCATTTAAAAGTAACTTAAAAATATAAAATAATTTTGTTGGCAATTTTTAATATTTGTAGCAATGCGTTTTATTTAAAAAAGAAAAACCTCACTAATGTCGTAATTATTTATGGTAATAAACCTGTGAAAAAAATTTTATCGGTCATTCGAAAAAATACACAATAAAAATGGCAAAAATAACGAATAGACATTTTTTTTTTAGTAAAACCAAATTCTTGATTTCTTTTCTATTTGAACGTGGTAAGTGTAGAATGATGCGAAATATGTTAAAAATATGAATTTAATAGTAAATAGTAATGAATTCTAAACAATGTACAAATACCAAATGTAAACAGATGCATTACAACACACACAGTTTTCTACAGAAAAGCTCAATTTAGATAAACAAATAGTAACGTTTATTTAATTTATTTTCAACAGCTCCATAATCAAATATGTATTTCTGTATTTGTGGAAAAAATATATAAAGTTTTTGTTTAATTTACATATTACCTACATACAAAAAAAGCAACAAATTACATCGATAAAACGTATGAAATTTTAACTTCCATATTTGCAATCAAACAATAATGATTTTTACTGTAGACAAATTTTCTAAAGTGGCGATAATACGAGTAACCTGACAATGTACGTACGTACGTAGGTGGAAAATCGTAAAATACTGTAATCTGTGGATACAAATGAGTAATGCAAACTACGGTGAATTTTGTGTGTAAGGTGTATGTGTGTTTACATTATGTAGATGTGCTAACTTGTGCCAAGAGAGTGTGTGATGTGATGCCATGTGATGACCAATGTTGACTAATTGTTAGTTGGTTGTATAAAAGGAAATTTACAATATTTTTATAAGTACCTTGTTAGGAGCCGTTTGGAGACCATGAAATGGTAGATTCTCATACTCGCCAGGTTCCGTCAATGGATCCCCCAGTGAAGATGACTTGTCTTGTACTATATTTCAAAGTTGAGTTAATATTTCAATACGAATTTGATCAAAAGAGCGATGAATTTACGAATTTTCAGGGTTATATTTGCACGTCGGATTCAATTTAAGAATTTTTTGTTCGAATTGTTGCGTTTTGTTTTGTTTGTTGGAAGTAGCAGCAATTTTAGAATGCATACAATTAAAGATGATTGCAGAAAGTTAACAGAAAATATTAAATAAGAATAAAAAATTATGAGAATTTTAAAATAAATAAGAAAATATCGACTTAGAGGGTAAAAATCTATTTACGTATAAATATTTTTGATTTGAAATAAAGAGAAAATAAATATGTATACATGTATGTAACTACACTGGCAATCAAAAGTAAGTGCATGGGGTTTTTTGTTTAATATTTGCAATGTCTTTCAAGTTATTTTTTTTTTGTTATTTTTTTTTTAATATGCTTTAAGCAAAACCAGACAAGTGAAACTTTCAAACTTTATACAGAACTAAATTTTGACCTTTTTAATCTGAATTTTTAGAAAAATTTTGAGTACGCAAATAGATCGTTTTTTTAATTCTAGTGAAATTTTTACTTGAAAACCATTGCAAATATTAAACAAAAAACACCATGCGCTCACTTTTGATTGCCAGTGTAAGTTTGATTTTTGTTATTATTAAAACTAAAAATTTAAATAAAATATCTTCCCAAAGATGTATAAAACTTATAAAAGTGTGGAATTGTAAGAAAAAAATTGTATTTCAATTAACAAAATACTTAAAGGGCTTTTAATAAAAATATGTTTTTTAAAAAATAATGACGACACTTAGAGGCGGGAAACAAAAATATAACTTCATGCATAACATTTAAAACTAACGGAAACTGCAGGCAAATAATCACGTTGTTGTTGGTTAATAAAGGACAAAAACATCAAATAGCGAAAATATCAAAAAAATTAAGCTTAAAATTAAAGATCCAATAAAAAATTACAACATCTAGAGCAATAACAATAAAAAGTTAAAAGCTTTAAAAAATATAGCACTCTTTAAAAAGTGAAAAACAATTTGTTTGCTTACTTGCGTTGTTGTTAAATAAGGACTTCACACGATGAAGCATTTAAAATTACTTATTTATTTATACACACGATTGAAATAAGAAAATTTTAAGTCAGTTTGAAACTTATTAGTTTTAAAATAAATAAAGTTTGCTAAAAAAAAGGCCACATACTTGGAATTAACAAAATACATATATTATAATGTTTGTGATAAATAACATGAGTATTTATGAAATTAAAAAATGTAATTTTGAGACGCTTTAGAGGACTTTCATCTAATTTTTAATATCTATAGCTCCTAAATTGAAAAGCTCACACAAAAAATTAAAAACGGAAACTCTAAATAATAATCCCAAATTTGGGGAAATCCTAAATACCAGCAAAAGAATCACAACGAAATATGTTCAGGCTCACGCATAATACAGTAGTTCTGCTTAAATTCTTCCTTTCTTCCTATCTACTAAGATACAGTTTCACGAAAGAAATTTATGTAAATATGTATGTAGGTGAAAAAAAATTGTTTTCCATTTGAACTTAATATGAAAACTGACAGAATTGAACTAATAATTTTCACTGAAATTGCCGTTGAAACTCTTGATTCAATAAAAAAAGGTTTGCTCAGAAAGCAGTTTTCTCGCTCCCTCTTGACAAAATCGGCTCCCTTGTCAAGGCACTGTGTATGGGTTCGTGTGTGTGTGCAAAACTTTTGTAAGGGTTGACACTCCCTCTAATGCAGCGATGGGAAGAGAGAGCTTTTACTCTGTGTACGCCTATACAAAATATATGGAAAGCTTAAAAGAGCTTTGCTGCTCTAATATCACAAGTGAGCAAAGCTTTAATTACACTGGGTTACAGAAAAAATGTTCTGTGTAGAATTGCTCGGTGATTCCGAAAATCGAGTTATCTTTTTTTCTATGGATACTTTTCGAGATATTGGCTATTTACCGTTATTCAGCTTAAAGCAAAAATTGGTTCCTTTTAATCACGTATATCTTACGAACCAGTTTAAAAATCTTCATATAAAATACGGCAAATGAAAGCCAATGAAATTCTCGATTAAACGTATATACATCACATTCCGATAGGGCTTATGGTTTCTGACAAATTAGTTAATCATTTCAGCTTTTTTTTATTTTTTAATGAAGAAATGAAAAAAATCAAACTTTAACAGAAGAAAAATTTAAAAAATAACAGGTTCTGTACCAAATTTTTGCATTTGTACTAACGCGTATCATAAAGTTATCGGACTAGAGAAGAGCACAAAGCGGGCTATGGTTCCTAGTTGCACTCTGATGACGAAACTTATAACAATTACGTACTTAGCTACTGCGCCTAAAATTATGCTAAAAAATAACTTATTTTTTGGGGCACTAAGGCACTACATAGTTATGCCGACCTATTCCCACCTCAATGACAAAACTCATCGGCATATCAATTAATTTCACTACTGACCCGAAAACTTTTACGCCGAATAGACGCACTGTTTCGTCATTGACACATACTCAACAGGTCATAATAATAACATAAAAAATATCGATATTAGAGTGCTTAAAGCCATGATTTTGGCTCACACTTTTAAGCACGGTAATTAAATCAATTGATATGACGATGGATTCTTTCATTGCCATGGGAATAGGGCGGTAACTCCCGTACATTAATTACCAGCTGACCCCAGTGTAGCATCAGCATGGCTTCCGCAAAGTGCACAGCACCACCAGAGCACTTAACGCAATAAATATGCTGATGACTCGTGTCTTTAATTGTAACCGCCTCTGACAGATAACGCTGGTTTTACATTTTAATAGCGACATCCAAATAATATTTATTTCTGTCAAAACAGCTGATTAAGAACTTCGAATTTCCTATTTAGGTTGGCAACGCAGTGGATAGTAATGAACGGATTACATGATACCATTTTTACACTTTGCGTAGCGAAGCTAGTAGGTATTCGTAACTACGAAAACTCGGATTCCATTATGGTGATATAAGGCTGAAAACACACCAGATTAGACAAGATGTTTTCGGATGATAAGAAACCCAAACTTTTTACTCCAAAGCATACCAAGCAAATCGCATTATAGCAAAGCAAGGTAATTCGTTGGCCCATCTCGGTGTGCGTTGAAATGCATTTCTGCAGCCCAGAGTTTTTCTGTTGGTGGCTTTGTTTCTAGAGTTATATATTGAGCTTCTCGCCTTAATTAAATATAATGTTTTTCTGCCCTAGTATCTATAAAGCAGAGGATTTCATATTAAAAAAATCGTCAGTTAAAAGGAATCCTTGTTTTCTTTGTTCTTCATTCTATGTACCTTGCGCTCGGTACATGCTGGATCGGAAACGAGGAAGCGGTCGAACTAGCAAGGAGCGGCTCCGCATTGAATGTGTCCCATAGTCCCAGTTCTGGGTGTACTACGACCCACCTTAAAGCAAAGCTCTTTTAAGAATGAGCAAAAACGATGCCTAAAAATTTATTGCAGTGGTCAAAGAACACTGGCCCATTGGGGTGCATTCCGAAAGGATAGCACTACCCTTCAAAAGGTTCTGTCACAATTGCGATGACCCGGGCTCAACAGTAGACAGTTGAGCACTTCCTGTGCAACTTTCCAGCCTCCGCAAGGATGAGGCTAAAGACGGTAAACCATTCCTGCAGAATATTTCTGAGTGCAGCTGTCTCTCTCTGTATGACGTATTGAAATTGATTAAAGCCGCCAAATGGCTGTAGGTTGCACGAGTTGTGGAATCAAAATGGCAAACTTGCTAATTGCTTGTCACCTGAGTGACAATCCACATAAACCAACCAACCAACATGTTGGCTGTATTCAAATACATTTATAGCTGGACAACCACTCCTCAAACAAAAACGAAATAAAGCGGTTTGTCTCGTTTAATGGACGATGGTTTAATCAGACAAAGGAATGGACACGTTTGTTTTAAATCATACATATAGGTAGGTAACATGAATTGACCTCAAGAGACTACTCGAAGAATTTGAGAGTGGCCTAGTATGGGGAACTGCTGCGGGTGGGCAATATCTAGGAAAGAGTAGCAAAAGTCAGTAACGCCCTATATATAGCCAAGAGGATGTTGGGAGTTATTTGAGGTTTTTCGCCTGCCCGGATGCCTCAGGTTTTTCTCTTTATCTTGGTGTGGCGGAATGCAACAAAAAAGTCTTTATACCCCAGTCCAACGGAAGAAGTTTAGCGTTTCGCGATCTACTTGCGCGGAGAGTAGATGTCAACCCGAGAATCCAAGGGGAATCCAACTTTGTGCTTGAAACCTAGTCGCAGATCTTTCAGTATATTCGCAGACTCGTCTGAAATATCAAATGGAGTGGGTGCTAAAATTTACTGCGAGGAAATTAATTTCAGACTTGATTAATGCCTTATCATTCAGGGTGATGCTTTTCTATGACAAAAGCTTTCACTAATACAAGAAATAACTCAAAAGTAAACTTATACGTCGAAAACTAAGCAGCGATTAAGGTAATTACTTCATATAGCATATCCTCCAAAAACGTCCTTCGCTGGGAAGCTTTTGTAAGCAAGTAGAACGCTGTACATCTATTGGGTGACTGGTCACAAGCGAATAGGTAGGTAGTACTTAAATTAGCTGATGGGATCCCCGTGGGCGCTATTTGAACAGATAAAGGACGCCTAGAGATGGATGGAATGAGATAGACACATGCTAAATTGTAAAAATCTACGTTCTTGTTAAATGTAACAGGCCACTTAAGGTTATTTTTATGCAAAATTTCCATAGAACTATGGCGTTTTCCCACCGCGAAGTAAAAGCTAATACTCGTAATCTGAGCTGGATAGGTTTTTATAGCGTGCTTAGCCGAAAAGCAAGTCCCACTCTTTTACGTAATTAATACAAAATTGAGCTTAAAATTTTGTACCAGGATGTGTCAGACCGGTGTTCATAAACTTTGTTTGCCTTTTCTAGAATCGGCGTTTTACACCCGCGTGGTATGCTGCGGAAAAAGTTGAGCCCGTGCCGCCTCTAGTCAGAGGAGTTTAGCTTAGGTATGAGTTAGCAGAACATTGATTTGAATAGGTTTCTACTCCTCCTTTTAGAGATCCTAAAATATCTTAATCTGCGCGTAAATTTTAAATTAACACCTATTTGTAGTTTTATTTTACTGACTTTAGAAAAAATTCCTTAAAATTATCTTGATTTACATGAAACTTTACTCTTTGGTTAAAAATTTTCTGATTTACCTTTTCTAATATTTTAACTAATCATAATAGTAGAGAAAATCGAATATAAATATATTCAAAAATTAATAATAATAATTAATAATTTTTGACAATGAGCACGAGAGTATGAGTGTGAAATGAGTTGAAGTGTAAATGGTAATTAGTTTTTTCTTACTTTGGACCCGCTCGATTTTTGTCGGCGATATTGTGGCCACAACGCGCTTCTGCAGTGGAGGGGGTGCCGCCTTGAAAGGCGGCGGTGGACGTGGCGGCGGCGTACGACTCTTCAATATGCCACGGTGTAGCTGTTGCTGTCGTCCATGTGTCGGTGTTGTAGTGTTGCTGTTGTTGTTGCTGTTTACGTTGGCGGTCCCATTCCCGCCGTTGATGGCCGTCCCCATGCTGTGGGTGTTCGCTGGAGTCTTGTCGTATGAAGGCACTTGAAATGTCACAGAGGCATGTAATCGGGGACTGTTGACTGGTTGCTGCGTAGGCGGCTGCGTAGCTGGAGGCGATTGTGGTAGCTGTGCTCTCGCTGCGGCTGTGGCTGTTGGTGTGACTGGAGTAGTAATATTAGAAGCAGAGTGTTCGAAGTTTTCATTTAGCTCAGCGGCACTAGCGTTTGTAGTCGCTATTACGCTAATGCTGGTACTGTTGTTGTTACTGATGTTACAATTACTGCTACTGCTACAACCGGAGACAGCGTTGCCGCCTTGCGACGTGCGTACTGGCGACTTTTTGTACGTGACTACAAGTGTTGGGTGCGTTTGTGTTTTGCGGTTGTTGTTGATGGGTGATGAATGTGTATTTTCAAGCCATTACGAAAATGAAAAATAAAAAAAAAACAAATGCAAAGCAAAAAACGTTTGATATAAAAACAAATTTGACGCAAAACAAAAGCGAAATTGAATTAATTACCACTGCCACTGCAACGTATGCCCTTTAGGCGATGCTCTGCGCCAAATGGCGACTTTTCCGTCGTTTCTGTGCGCTGCCGTAGCACACTGGCACCCGCTTGCCACATGCCGCCAAGTAACCCGATGTGGCTGCGCTGGCTGTCGCGCGTGGTGTCAACGCCAGCACCGCGGCGCTTGAAAATGTTCGAAAAGAACTTTTCCACGCGTCCCATGCGGCGTGCACTAACACATTTGTCTGCGTTGCTACAAACTTCCGCCGCACCGCTTGTCGATTCAGCGCTGGCAACAGTGATCTCTTCCATGCCACCCTCTGTAGCTACTATTGGCGTTTCAGTTGTCAACGGCGTTGACACTGACGTCCCTGTCATACGAACTCCGGCGCCTGACGGACACTCAAGTGGTTCGTCTGTGACAGCTGTCAGCATTGTCAATAGCTGTTCCTCTGTGTTGGCATTTTCGACTGTCAAAATCTGATTATTCGGCTTAACATTGAAAGTGGTGTGCGGTCTTAACTGTGATGATTTGCCAAATTTATGTGGTAGTGTTTGGCATGCAGTGCGGTGGGAGCAAGCACCAGGGCTGGCGTATTCGCTGCCCACTCCGGCGGCACGCTTTTGGCGACAGTCAAAACGGCCGAGCGTTGACGTTTGCTTGGGAATATCAACACTTCCGCATCCACGATCGCCATCGCCACTCTCTCCTCCTAGACCCGTATCACTGCAATCGACTGTCTGTGTAGATGCATTTAGAAGTGTTGTTTGTGCGGTGGCTGCTGAGAAGCCAGATGCATTCAGTGTGGCACTTGATGCAGTGCTGCTGTCAGCCGCTGCCATTGTTGTCAAATTCGACAGTTGTGCCGTCAATGTGTGCGGTCGCAGTGTCATGCGATTAGTTGCCAGATTCTCTTTTGTATCGCTGCTGACATGCACCATGACGCCGGGGCGCAACGGCCAGCGCGGCGGTGATTTAGGTGCTTGCGCGGCGTGCCTTACACGTAAGCTGGGTGTTCGAGTGGGTGTAGTAACAATGGTGGGGGTGTGTGCGGGGGTGGTAGCGGGTGAGGGTTTGGGTGTGATCTTGGACGGAGGCTTCGGGGGCGGTGACTTGGGCGGCAGTTTTGGACCAGGAAGTTGTGGCAATTCTTGTGCGGCTAAATTAGGCAATAGACAACCCGTAGTCGGTGGTTGCGGGGAAATCGTTTCGAGCGCTGGTGTAGCCACACCACCTTGTGGCGCATTCGACTGATAAGAGAGTACACTGTGTTTATATTTATATTTAGACGTGTAATTGTCATAAAATGTGGTGTGTTGATGCAGTTGTATGGAGCGATGAATTTGATTTTTTTTTATAAGAATTTATGAAAAGCGTAAAAAATCAAATGAAAAATTTTGCAATAACAACATTTATATTTAAAAGCAACAATAATAGTGTTTTCAAACATGATACAGTTTTCGAGGCGTAAATAACGGTGCACGTATCAAAATATGCAACGAAAAAGAAAAATAAACAAACGAAATTAATAATACAAACAACCTTAAATAAAAATGTTAATAAATATGTATAATAAGGTATTTTTAACGTGTTTTTTGCGTAATTAAAAAAAGAACAGTTTATATTAAACAAAAGAATGTGTTTGGCAAACCGCAAACGTCATGGGGATAACTAAAATCTGCTGCTTCTGAACCTTAAGATTGAACCTTGGCTTTTTTAAATTAAATAATACAAGTTTTGCATACTAATTTCAAAGTCGAAACACTACTGTTAACTGGGTGTTTAAAATCTTAAAATTTTCGAGGAAACAATAAAATATTCTTGATCATACACTTGTGAAGAATGTTTCATTTGTAAATCTCAGAAAAAACCGGTTTCTCAATATATAACCATCCCTTTCCGAGCCATTGATGGCATGGGCACCTAGAGTGCCCAAACAGATACCTACACACAAATCCAAAATTGAAAAGTCACCTTAGGTATCTTTCTTGACATACAGGGTACCTTTAACCGTATTCTTCCATATGCCGTCGTGGGGTCACTTTTTCAAGTGAGGCTGGAACGGCCTCTGGTGGAACTTATAAGGCTGCGTCTTGGGAGAACATCTACCTCCTCTGACTTGGGGCATCTCCATAACCAAGTAAGAAACAAGAGGTACTGTAAGTTAAATTCTGCCGAGACTTCAGGGTACCATCTGTCACGTCATAGGTTATGCTGATGAAATTGTACTTACAGTAACGCGCAAGCATCTCCAAACTCTAAGCGAAATTTTGCAGAGCGCTCTCTGTCTCATGAATAGCCGGTCGAGAGTGGCTCAAGAACAATTACACCAAGACCGAAATGGAGCTAGTCATGAGGAAATATCTTTCATAACTCTCTTTAAATGGTGTTGGGCTTACTCTTTTCTACAAGGTTAAATAAGTTGGACTGAAAACGGATCCTTACGGAGCGATCCAGGAAAGTCATAAGTGGTAGATATCAAGCCAGTTGCAACGCAGCCAGGTTTAGTGTGGATCACACATGAAGAAATTTCAGATTCGTTCACTCAAAAATTCTGGGAAACATTCCAAAACCGTACGCAAAAGCTGGATTACAACAACCTAATTTTTTGTTTCGACAATAGGTTTTCTATCAGAATTCCAGACAGAAGCGACTAGGCGAACCGCTCGGACTTAGATCCGGTGTCTACTGCCATCTCAAGTATGGGTCAAAGCTCGACAATAAGGTTGATAGCGCAATTTACTCTAAATACTTCTCACTAAACCAAAGCTTGCAGCCTCCTGACCACTGTAGCGTTTTTCAGGCCAAATTAATAGCTATATAGGAGGCGCTCTTATTGCATAATAGCGCCGCAGTTTCCCTACGGTCCGTTACGATTTATTCTGGCAGCCAATCAGCGATTAAATCTCTACAGTGCAGAAACACTTCTTCGAAAGTGACTGTCGAATGTAGAAGGATTTTAACAAGCTAGCCGCGAAAGTGTGAATTAAAGTGGTATAGATACCCGGGCACAGTGAAATACCTAGAAACTGCGCTGCAGACGAGCTTGCAAAGGGGGAGGGACTTATGCTCAGTTATCAGCCGCCCATGATACAGGCGTACCCATATCTTGGTGTAAACACAGGTTGAAATCCGTTTTCATTAAATTTACGTATTTATTTATTTATTAAGCCAATGAATATAAAAAAATTCTTATAGGCTAAGTAGACACATGTCTATACTACATGTAGGCTAAATAGACTATTTATAAAAAGTATTCAAACATTTCAAAAAGCGATCTTTTGAAAATGAAAAATCTATCTCAATAAATTTAGAGATTCTATTGTACTCAATTAGAGCGCGAGTAATAGGAGCATTTCGAGCATAAAGAGTTTTAAAAAGACCAACATAGAAAAAATCCGAACTACGAAGGGCTCTAGCCGGAATATTAAAGAAAATCCTCCCAAGGAGCACGGAACAGTCAACATCACCGCGTATTAAATCGAAAACGAAAGACAAATATAGGGTCATTCATCTTTTCTACAATGATTTTAAGTTAGTCAATAAGCATCGTGATTCATAGCTAGGGATAGGATCCGAGAAGCGTAAATTACGCAACGCAAAGTATAAGAATACTTTCTGGATCCCTTCAATTCTAGCAGCATGGCACGTATAATATGGAGACCAAATGAAGGATGCATACTCCAGTTTAGCGTAGGGATCGGAGAAATCCGAGCTATGACGCCTGACAAAAGCAAGCATGGCGTAAGATTTCGCAATAATAAAATTTATGTGGCTTGTAAAGGCAAGCTTAGAATCAAATATTACTCCCAAATCTTTAATTTCACTCACCCGTGACAGGGGCGAGTTGGAAATATGGTAATAGGTGTCAATGATATTGGCACGCATAGAAAATGTTAAATGGAAACACTTGTTCATGTTCAGGGACAAACGATTATTGTTACACCAGTTACTCACATTATCTAAATCGATTTGCATCAATACAGATTCATGATAGCTTCTAATGAACGAGTAGATCTTAAGGTCATCCGCATATAGCAAACATCTTGGTGACGCGAAGCAAGAGCAAATGTCGTTGATAAACAGAACAAACAACAACGGGCCCAGAATATTACTTTGTGGTACCCCAGAACAAGCTACAAACGGAAGAGATCTAACGTTGTCAACAACAACCATGCAACGACGATTGTGCAAGTAAGAAGCGATCCATCTAAGTAATACTGAGTGGAAACCAATGCATGCTAATTTTTTAATCAGGATCACATGGGAAACCCGATCAAAAGCATAACAGAAGTCTCTTATCAACTCTGATTGAAAGGTTGCGATACAATCGTCTGAGAAGACAGCTAAGTTAGATACTGTTGAGCGGCCTAGAAAGAAACCATGCTGCTCTGGACACACCATATTATTAACAGCGAAAAGCAATTTATTTTATGATGCACTCAAAAAGCTTTGCGTGGCGGTAAGCTTAGAAATATGCCTGTAGTTGCTAATATCGCTTTTATTGCCAATCTTAAAAATAGGTGAGATGAAAGCCAACTTCCAAGCATCAATAAAAGTGCACGAAGATAGGGATTTGTTGAAGATTAACACCAATGGATTAACTAAGGAATCCAACCGCTTGTAGAAAATCGCAGACAAACCATCAACATCAGTGTGTGAGGAGGGTTTAAGACGAGCAATGCCGCTGAAAACATCTTCGGTGGACAATACTAGCTTGGCGAAGTCGATAGATGGTTATATAGCGAAGAAAACATTTTCCAAACTATCAGATAGAGATGCAAAATTTTACCTAAAACACTCGGAAAAGAGTGTGTGCCTCTGCAGGAGTATTAACTGCTTTGTTGCCTAAGAAAAGAGAAGACGGTATATTAGAAGTAGATTTCTTCGCATTAACGATGTTCCACAACGCTTACGGATTGGATTTTAAACTTTCTTCAAAACTTAAAATATAGTTTTTGTGCAAAAATTTATCCAACCACTCGAATTTCTTATTATAATCTTTATATAAATCGAAAAAAGCTGCATTTCGACTTTTTTTGAATTTGCGTACATAGAAATTGGTTTTTCTTATTTCGAAGTTTAATCAAGGGCGCATTATGCCAAGGTACTTTTTACTGCTTCTTTGTTACCAGAGAAATTACACTTTTACAAACGTCTACGACAGTGGCTCTAAAAACTTCAAAACACTCAGAAATGTTAAGATGACGGAACAAGCTGTACACCGAGTTACGTTTTTTTGCGTTTTGCGGGTAAAGCGGCTTTCTTTAAGAATACAATGTATAAAATATACATTTGTTTTGAAATTTGTTAGCAAGAAGAAACCAATGTGTATACCTAAATAACAATAAACCTTGTTTGCGTTAGGATGATATGTATAAACCTTACTTATTTGCACAAAACTATCAAAGTTTTCTTTCTGCTACATAGAAGCAAATTGATTCTAATTATCGGAGCATTAGAAACATTTCAACGCCGATATCTACAAGTTTTAGGAAAGGATTTTAATTGTTTCACTGAATTAATTATTTGAAAAAAATATATATATACATAGCTAAAGTGGGAACCACGTGTTTCGGTGACTTATGGACTTATGGAAGGTTTCAAGATGAGGGTGAATAACTACACGATGAACTGCCTGGAAAATAATTTAAGAATTTCGATAATGCCATAATTAATCACTATAAGAAACCATTTATGTATGTACATATTTATTTTTTCTATACAGCCCAAAATATTGAACAGGCATACATTTTTGGTCTATTGTAATTTCCTTTTTTGTTTTTTTGTATTAATTGCAGTTGGTTTTATAAAGAGGATAGTTTGAACGAACAACGATAAAAATATTAGCTCTGATTTGTTGATACAATTTTTTTAGTAGAAATATTTTCTCGTCGCCAATTTTAAATTTTTTTAAGCGAAATTTAGAGATTTTTAGCGATGCTAAATACTCCGGAGTCGCAATTTTAGCTCATTCACTTTATCCTGTTCATCGCTAAAATTTGCCAAAATATGCAAATTTTTGCAGATGATTTTTAAGATAGAATCGCGAAAATCCCTAAAAATTGCTAAAATTAATTTAGCATTTTTTGGCGATGGAGTTTTAGCGATAGCGAACGTTTGAATCCGGGTGCAGGATTATTTAAGCTTGATAAAGAATGTTGTGAAGTATCACCGATTGACTATATGTATAAGTATATTTTATTGTAGACGGAACCAGATTTGTGTAAGAATTTTATTAAGAAGAAGCTGTTTTTTACCTAAGGTTGTTGTGCAAAATGCTGTGTTTGTCTAAACGATACCCAGCCAGGACAGATAAGAATTTTTACATTTGTATTTAACCTTTAATGAAATTAAAATAATATATTGTTAAATCTTCACACAAATAATTCATGAGTTTGTTCTTCCGTTTACTAGTTTGCCAAATACATACGTTTAAAAAAAAAATCGCACAAACTAAAGAAGTTAGATCTCCACTTACGAATACATATGTATGTATATGAATAAAAAAAGAAAATGATATAATTTTTAAAATTAAGAACATTTTAGCGAATACTTGTTACTTAGCGACTTTTCGCATTGAAAAGTTTTTGTTTGATTTCTTTCAGCTTACCTGTGAGTGGCACTGATGGAGACGTCGGTGCGATCTTAAAGGGTTTACGAGAAAATCGATATGTTTTTCAAGTGTTGTAGTTGTTGTTCATGTTAGAGGAATAGAATCGGCGAGAGTTAATGACACAGCAGCGTTGCGTTGGATGATGCATTCGTGTATGTATGTGTGTGTGATTGTGTATGTGTGAAAGCGTTTAATTGAAGGCATAATTTACAAATGGTTGCATTTAATTTTTGATTGCACAAATATTTGATTAATTTTTGTGTTGAATATTATTTTATATGTAGCGATTATATATTGTGAGTGTATAAGTGTTGATTGATGTGTCAGTGATAAATGATTTTGTTTTCGGTTTGTACGTCGTATTAAGTAGTTAGTGAACAAAGACAGCAAGTGTATATTGAATTATTTTGTTGTTTCATTCAATTTAGAGTTTAACAATGTTTTCATATAAATTGTGTATTTGTTGTGTTGTGAAGTTGCGTACATTTGTCCATATTATTGCCATTAAATTAAGTAAATTTTGTTGTAATTTTATTTCAATCAACACCAAAAAGCGGCATCAACGGCAACAGGCAGACGTAGACGTAGAGGCAAGCAAAATATATATGCACAGACATTTTTGTTTATAAGTATAAGTACACATATGCAGTTATATCATTTCAAACCATTTCAAGTCAATGCGATCGTAAGTAAGCAGACAGGAGCCAACGAAAAAAGTACGATAAAGTATTTAAGCGCACAAATAAATAATTTTCAATCGTTTTTGTGTTCAATATTTGTTGAGTTTCAATTTGTGCATGGATGTTTTTGTTTTTGTTTTAATTGGTTTTTAATGCAATTGAAAGATTTTGGTGTATTTATGTTTATGTTTTATTTGCAATAAATTATTTGTGTATTATATTTGCGTTTTTTATAAATTTTGCATTGTTTACCAATTTTCCAGACAATTTTGTGTCCATTGCACGATGTGCAATATATCAATGTGTATTTGTCGATTTTTTATTTAAATGGATTTTAAACCGATTTTTTTAGTATTGATTGTTTGGCAAGTGGTAAATGTGCGCACATGAAACGATTTTAGTGTTAAGGCGGTGGTGTTGTGGTTGTTTTGTATGTTAAATGTTGATCGTTAATTCAGTTATCATCAGTTTCAATTTGGTTTGTTGTAGTTTTTGTTTTTATTTTTATTTGTTGAGGCACAAAAACACATACATAAAAGCGCAAAACATAAGAAGAGAAGAAAGAACATAAATTTTCTGTTAAGTCGCATGTGAAATTAAATTAAGCGAATAATTATAGTTAAGTTTTGTATTATTCATAATTTGTAAAATATAGTTTTTTGCGATACATGGTGTTACTAGTTTAATACAACTCTTCAAAGCATAAATAATATCTATCAAAACGAAAGCTATTGAAGCTAAATAAACCACAGCATTATTTAAAAATGAAAAGATTTATTTATGCAAAACCAAATCGCATATACTGTACCATTCTAAATTCAAGCTCAACTAAAAAATATATAATTATTGGAATAAAGAGTTCAGATTGTCTGTACCCTGGGCACTACCTACGTTGACGATCATTCTGTCGGAAGTATTTTCATGTACTTGTAGCCTTTATACTGCACTTAAATTATCAGGCTAACAGATTAGTAAACTGAAATTTCGTTGATCGCCTATGCTTTTGTTTAGCTTCTGCTAGGCTGAGTCAGATGCACTAAAATCAACAGTGTTACATTTGTGAACCCTTTAAAAGTTTAGAAGATTTGAAAACTGGACAAGCTTTGTAGATCAGCAACTTAAGAAAGAGAACCACTTTTAGTAAAGCTTCAAACTACATTCTCAACATCATGTCTCTAGACCCTACAAGTTGTCAGATGGAAAACTATGCTGGCTTTGACTTGAAAGATATTCACAACTACGGCTATGAAGCAATACGGAACCTTAGCATACTAAAAAGAAATCAAGAAAGAGTTAACGGCTCAAAATTGTTGTTTCTTCGGGAGAAACTCCTCTAAAACTATTACACTGATATCCAAATCAGTGCAGCCTTTTCTTGGCTCAGCCGTTATGAAGCTATGTAGATTCCTATTTCCTCTGGCCATTGAAATTATCAAAACCTTGGACTGCCATTGATTCGTAAAGAAGAGGAGTAGGCTTTATCTTATTTGGATGTCAGGATCTGTGAGCAATTATAATCGAATCGTGGGGAGAGGTAGGAGGCCTTAGACATGCCAGACTTTTTGGTTATCCCTTAACTAGGAAAGATATGCATACATCTTTTGAACCAAACCAATATCAAGTTGATTTATTGCTACCTGACGGGCCATAATCACCTGCGCTCTCACATGCACCGGATGGGCATTTCCACAGGGACGGATTGCCGTCTTTACCGTGAAGACGAGAAGATGTCGGAGCACATTATGTGTGGTTGTCCGTCGTCATCGGATAACATCTTGGGCCGTCAGGGTTAGGAATCATCAAAGGGATTCAAAAGATCTTCTAGGTGGTGGTGCCCCTTATTCTGTTACGCCCAAAAAACTTTCATTGCATTACTGTGACATAAAACAAAACTTCAGGGCAGAAAAATTGTTTAAGGTTGAATTGGACAATTCATATTCTTACTAGCAAAGAATACTTTTGACTGCTAGATTTCGTTGTTTAATTGTTTTGAGTTTGAGCATATTTTTAGCCCATTCATAAAGCAATTTAAGAATTTGTTATCTTTTTATTTTTCACAAAACAGAAAGAAACGTTTCTAAGGCTTTGCCTTTATCCCTGATAACACATCCCTTATAGGAATAAGCGAACGTTTGGCAGTAGTTCACAGAAGATGATGGGTCAACGCTTGATGGAGGCATTGGTCGTCCTTAAAATTTGGCTTCCAGACCACTACAGAAGCAGTCGATTGTCTGCTCAACTTTGATAGCCAAGCGACAATTAAGGCCTCCTGCTCGGTAACAGTGCGCTTCGTGCGGAAATACCTGACCTCTCATTTATTTCCTTCTGATTTTTTTCTAAACAGGCTTTTACATGTATGTGCATTAGGGTGGTTCAAAAATACGTGTGAAAAAGTAAACTCGGAAATTTTATGCTCTCACTCCCTAGGATTGTTCTATACCGAAACAGTTTTCCCCTATTTTTATACCCGAGCGCACTTGTGCACAAGGGTATTATAACTTTGTTCACATAACGGTTGTTTGTAACAGGCAAAACGATTCGAGATAGATATGTACAGACAAATGCATACATATATGATCAGAATGAAAAAAGAAGTCGATTAAGCGGTGACTGTCTGTCCGTCTGTGCCCACGATAACTCGAGTAAAAATTGAGATATCTTAACCAAACTTGGTATGTGTACTCCTTTTAAGCGTAGGACGGACGGTATTGAAAATGGGCAAAATCGGAAAATAACCACGCTTCTTCTTCTTTATTGGCGCTGTAACCGCCTAAGCGATTTTGGCCGAGTCCAAACCTGCACGCCAGTCATTTATATTCTGTGCTAACTGACGCCAATTGGAAATGCCAAGTGAAGCCAAGTCCCTCTCCACCTGGTCTTTCCAACGCAGAGGAGGCCTTCCTTTTCCTCTGTTACCAGCATCGCGGCCCGCGTTGAATATTTTCAGAGCAGGACCGTTTCTGTCCATTCGAATGACATGGCCAAGCCAGCGGAGCCGCTGAATTTTAATTCGCTGCACTGTGTCTATATCGTTGTAAAGCTCATACAGCTCATCGTTAAATCGTCTGCGATATTCTCCATCACCAACGCGTAAAGCTCTGTAAATCTTTCGCAGAATCTTTCTCTCGAAAACTCCAAGAGCCGCCTCATCAGATGCTTTCATTGTCCATGCCTCCGCGCCATACACCAGCACAGGCATGATGAGTGACTTATAAAGTGTGATCTTTATACGACGAGAGAGGACTTTACTTCTCAATTGCCTACTCAGTCCAAAGTAGAAGGAAGAACAGACGTAGCCCTTGTTTTTACCGATAATATCGATGCCGTCGGCAAACGCCAGCAATTGTACGTTCTTGTAAAGTATTGTTGCACAGTTGCCCACTCTAAGATAACATACGAATGCATATAAAAGCAGGGTTCGTATTTGCACACACATGCTCTGCTCACACACACGCCAGAAACACATTCAACTTGCACTCACTGCTCATACACATGTGTGTGCATAAGTGGAAAACAAACTCTACTCACAGAAAAGTGTGTGCTGTTTGTTATTAAGCACATGCACATGTGTGTGAGCCGATTTTTGTACAAATTTCAGCCCATGCACATGCACATAATATATTCTTAAAAGAATTTGTTTATTAAACGTTATTTTTTGAAAGACAATTCAATAAAAAGTGAGATGTTGTTTGTTTTTTATATGACAGAAAACATATTAAAAAATTATTTTAAGATTTGAGTTAGAATTCGAAGTGTATAAGTTTCTCTACGCATAGCACACACATGTGCGTGTGCTTTACATTAATAAAAAGAAAGTACACAAATGTGCCCGTGCTTTTTACCAAACGGCACACACATGTGATGTGAGCAAATTTTTAATTTTTTATATGCACAGCACACGTGTGTGAGCGTAAAATGTTAGGATGTGCTGCACATGTGTGTGCAAATACGAACCCTGTATAAAAGTGAGAAAAATCGAATTTTTTTTCTGATTAACTGCTACTTTTTCGATTAGCAGTGGTTGTTTTTATGATACATAGACATATTATTTTATTTTTAGTAGAAAATGTGTAACACCCTGTATCAACAAAGCAAACAAATTATTTGCGAATTAAATACATACACACATAAATACATACATGCATAAATAACTATGTATAAGCACATTCGGACATACAAAATATATAAATAAATAAGCCACTATGACAGTATTGCAATATAATTTAATTAGTTCATTCACTAAGTACAATTATTCATTAGTGGAATGCATATAGATTTAAACTTTTTGTAAAAGCTCTTAATTTTTTGTTCCTTTTTCCACATATATAATTCAATGCAAATGAACACAAGGGAGCGAACAAAAAATTAGAATAAATTCAAATAAACTCATAGCATAGCTGCAGGCCCAATGTAATGAAATCGAACACAATTAAATTATTTGCCATGGATTAGTGGCATACATACATACATACATATCTGACTTCGAGGGATGAAAGTACAAAGCATACCCTGCAGGGAAACTCCGAACTTGTGAACCAAATTTTTAGCTCCGAACTGGATCTTTATCGCCAAAAACGAACCAGCCTGATAGTAACTAGATCCTCACCAGTGCAAAAACAGCGATATGTGCTACTTTTCAAAAACTATATTATTTTCCTTTTCAAAACTACATATCGCTAGCTAAGGTAAAAAAATGCCGCTGAGTCCACTTTTTCTAAAAAAATTAAATTTCGATGCATGAAGCAAGAACAATTAGAAATGCATCATCCTCCAAAAGATCGAACTATCTGTTTCTGTTCAGTGATACGTAAATTTCCTAGGTCCAAAAAAGTCACAGAAATTGTGAAAAGTCCAAAAGAATAAAAAAATTGTCATTCGAAATCTATGTCTAAGATGACGAACTTAGAACTGTTTCGGAACTATAGAACGGTAGCAGTAGAACATCTCATCTTAGCTTATTTACTTTAAACTTATATTTGTTTGGCGGTTTACAAATACGCTTTCAATCTGCACTTCACAAATATTTTTTCATAGTTCATTTTTATATCTTGGGACCTTCTGAAATCTTAGCAATAACAGTAAGAACCACTGGACACTCAACTACAACCAAAGGTATACAAACGTATTTTCAAATGCTCAGTTTGAATTACATTCATTCAAATAAATTTTATTTCAAATTGAAAACATATTTTTTTGAAAATAATGTAAGATCGCTACCATGGCAAAACGAAAAAGACTCGTTTTGAAAAAAATTATATTACTTTTTCGTGTGTTGAATATAGGAGTGGTACAGAACTAGGGGCGAGCTATATAAATCCTATTTGTCGAATTTAAGACTGGTTCGGAACTATCGATAAAGCGATGCAGCAGGGAGCATTGACCCTTCGTTGGACATCGCATTGTTAAATTCGCTAGTAGCTAGCATGCAAACGAACATCAACGCGCACTAGTCATGGTTGTAAATTCTCTACTACCGAATCACTTCGGCACTAGTGCGTTTCCCCACAGGGTATGTGTATCTGTAGTAAGCATGTATGGATGCATGTATGTGAATGAGGAGAACGGGTATGTTATTATTAAATTAATTACGACCAAATAAATAAACAAATGCGGGCTTATTGATATAAATGAAAGTTGGCTTATTTCTTATTATTTATCTTTTGCGTTGTTGGTTTATAAATGAGGTAGTCAATTTATGTACATTTTTAGAAATATATATAGCGTTGTGAGGCTTTCAAATTGCACAGGTTTTTACAGTGCTGAGGTTGAAAGGAGTGTGAAGTATTTTTTTTATACAATTTCTGTAGTAAAATGCAAAGTGATTATTAATACAAAATCAAATATGCACATAGAAAAAAGCTGGTAAAGATTTCTTCATGCGTTCAAATGCAAAGGCTAAAACTTAAAAATATTACTAAAATTAAACAAACAAAATTATAGTTAATCTAATATTATAAAGCAAAAATAACGAACACAATTATTGTTTTGGGGATTCATATAAAATAGATAAATAATATCAAAATATTTCTAATATAAAAAAAAAAAAAATATGTATAAAAATATAATATAATTTATAAAGACCTTAACCGTACATATAATCGTGTAGAAAATTAAACTTAATAAAAATTAAAATGTGTCATTTTAGGTTCCCTCGCATCTTTTACTATCAAATACTTAAACTCAAGATCTACATACATTATTCATAAATACCTATCGGTGTAATTATAAATTTCATTAGAAATAGTTCATTGTCTGTACTTACATTTATCTTGACGTCTGCGGCGGCGGCATATGCAAATGATGATGCAACAAATTATAATCACGGCTAAAAGTAGCGCTAATATTGAGGCTACCAGGATAATGAGCGTAGTCTTATCCCAGCGTTGCCACCAGACAAGTTGTTCTGTGAGCGAATGAAAATATTGAAAAGTACGCCTTTTAAAAAATGTTTACATAATAAGGAGTACAAATTTAACGGAAAACAAACTAACACACAACAAATTGCTTAAAGGGGAAAGAGTGCTTGGAAAAAACAGAAAGTGAAAATATAATTTTTAAGTTGAATATATCGTCACCTGAAATTCAAAAATACGTAACTAATAAAAAATTCAAAATTCACGTTTTGATTTATATAATGGATTTCATCGAATAACAATCCCCACATGTAGGGACGTTCCGATACCATCAAAGTATCGATACCTACTCAAATGAGTTTACTCAAATCCCTATTTCGATACTACTTATATGAGTGAACCGAATGTATCGATACCTACTTATATCGATAACTTTTCATCCTTTTATATGCAACAAAGCGAAAGTAATTTTCAGGCGTTATCTGTGACATACCTTTTGCGACACCTGAGTGGTAGATCGACCTATCTCGGCAGCCAGATTGAAGCGCCCTATCTGAGAAAATTTTTCAAAAGCACCCTATTCCAGAATTTGATTGAAAAACGCCTTATATCAGAAAACTTTTCAAGACCACCCTCTTTCAGAACTCGGTACAAAAACGCCATATCTCAGCTGCCGATTCAAAGCGCCCTATCTCAAATATTTTCAATGTATTTTCAGTTGAGGTATCGATATGTTTATTTGATCATTAGAAGTAATGTCATTAGAAGTAATACGATTACTTAGACAAAAAATTATAGGTTCCCACAAAACGTTACGGCTACAAGGCATTGCTTGAACTTTGTAAAACTATATCCCCTCTTTAGATTTTGGCGGTGACATTGCTTAGATCAATTACTTTTCATAAAAGCGAAGCAATTATTTTCCATAGAAAATATATGACCGAAAGATATGGCACTTCCTCAAATCGATTCGATACAAGTACTTTTATTTCGATACTAAGTAGGTATCGATGAAACGATTCAAGTAAAAAAAGTAGTTGGTATTGAAACAAAAGTATCGAGTACATACTCGTATTTACTTATATCGGAACATCCCTACCCACATCATTTTATGAAAAAAAAAATTTAAATATTAGTCACGACTTTTTCTATTTATGTAATTTACGATGTTGTTACGTCTTTTTGCATTTCAAGTGATGATATGAACCGTTTATTTTGAAAGTGACATGCCGTTCGACTACAGTGATGATTTTCCTGCATCTGAATGCGCCTTTTATTCGTTCAAAGATAAAAATGTTTGTCATTGGTTTATGACGAAAGAGCGATTAACAAATGCATTCAGTTAGAAGTAGCCAACCTTTTAAGCATAAAAGGTGGAAACTACTTATGTCACTTTCAAAATAAACGACTCTTATGTTAAAGTAATTGAAATGTTTAGTTTGATTTCGTATTTGAAAGAGAAGTATATTTGGTTTAAAGTAACATATAAACGGCTGACTGGAAGATCGACCAATCTCGGCAGCCAATTCGAAAACGCCCCGTCTCAGAAAACTTTTCAAGAACGCCCTCAGAATTTGATTAAAGAACGCCCTATCTCAGAATTCGGTCCAAAAATGCCATTTCTTAGGTGACGATTCAAAAACGGCCTATACACATTTTGAATATATTTTCAGTTGAGAAAGGTAGAGCGTTCTTCAGCCAAATTCTTAAAAAGGGGCTTTTGAAAAGTTTTATGAGATAGGGCGTTTTTGCACTGGTTGCAGAGACAGGTCGATCTTCCACTCAGGCCTCGATATATGTTTGTATGTACATATATTACGCTGGAAGTGTGTATACTTTTTAAAACTACATATAAGGGTCCATGGAGGTCTGCAAAATGTATAGCATGCAAAGTTGGAGAAGATTGCTACAGCTTATGAATTCGACAGAACAAAGTGTACTAGTACAATCTTTGCAGTGTCAGACTTGTGATCCACTGTAGGCCTACACACAAACATCACCCCATGATCATGAATCTACAAAACTGTGTTCCTATACCATATATAATAAGTTAAACTGGGTTTGGCGGCGGCTGTGGTGTAGTAGTTAGCAGTGCGCACTACTATTCCGCAGGGACTGGGTTCGAGCCCAGTTTCCGACCAGCATTAAAAAAATGAAACATAAAAAAAAATGTTTCTAATAGCGGTCGCCCTTCGGCAGGCAATGGCAAATCTCCGTGGGTGCCAACATCCAGGCGCATGCCACAAATCGGAAGATAAGCTCTGCCAAACACTAACATATTGTGTAAGCGCCGAACTTTTATTAGGTCTCATTATATTTATAAACACTTTCACATAATATGTGCCCACAGCAGTTTCAAGGATTCTCCAGTAAGAATCCTTTCTGTTAACTATTTAATGCGTTATATGCGTCTAGTACTGCAGAAAGTTTGTGTGCAAAATTGAAAAGCTTTCCATCATTTTACATAGGACTTCGGCACAATTCTAATGCATACTCGCTGCATGTGTGAGAAGTTTTCTGTTTCTTTTACATGCAATTCCCTATTAAGTTATCATATATGTATGTATGTAGTAGTCACTTTTCAATTAAATATTATTATGCGATAAATAAAAGTGTTAGATAATGCAAAGAATCCTATATTAATATCGCTAATGTGCAGAAAATGTGTTGATTTTTCTTTAAAATTTTATAAGTGTATTGGCCCTGTAGTCAAATGTACCAGTTGTAAACTACCTCACAACTAGTATGAACCGCATGCCCAACGAGTCAGCGAACTATCTTTTTTCCATGGAATAAACTGGTATTTTTATAACGGGGATGTCCTATTAGATGGCAATTGTAAGATTTCGGTCAGAAATATACCAGTCTCATACTAGGCCAAAATAGACAGAAAAATATTGGACCGAAACCTCTACTTTGGGACTTAAAAAATAAAATGAATAAAATAAAACAATAAAAACTTTTGATTAAGTATAATTTAAAATATTATACATTTTTATTATTATTCCGGTTATCCAAAGAAACATGATTTAATTAATAATCATTATGAATATTAGTCATTATTTAATAGGTCTGGTCTAATTGAAAACAATATATCCAAATAAAAGTTATAATATTTTGTGTACTTTATTGCATTAAACTGTCGAAGTCAAGTAAAACCGGGCATGAATAAATCGTTTTGTACTTGGTACAAGTCTGGTCATTTTTGAACTAGTTCGGTTTCAGTCAGGAAATTCTAGTTGTAAACTAGTATTTTTCCTGACTAGTTTGGGATTTCACTGCAGGGGGAGAATGCGATAGGCCGGTGCTGCTGGTTTCGTTCCTTTCGGAACGGCCTCGCTCGGCTGGGCTCCGCTTCCTGTGTGAAGGTACACTTAAGGGCTGTACCCTCGCTACAGTGTCCTTCACATCAAGATAATTTTGTTTGGTTGAAATTGAAAAGATAACAAGGTTTTATTGGTCGAAATTAGATAGGCTATTTCATTGATTATCACAACTTTGATTAAGTGATGTTGGTGACCAGGGCCGAAGAAAATAAGCAAGAAAAAATCCATTTTAAGTGCTTAGATAAGCACTAAAACATGGGTAAATATGCTTGCAAGCAATAACAACAATGCCTTCCCGTAGAGACAAACCATTGGTTTTAAATTTTTGTATCCAAGTAGGGCTGAAGAAAATAGGCAGAAGTTACGGTTAAATAAAAAAATCTATTTTTATGTTGTTATTTGTTACAATTTCTTGAGTTCGACGAATAAAAAACGTCCAAGAAATGTTAAAGAAAAATTTATTGAGTCAAATTTTCTTAATCAGTACGAAGTTCTTAAGAATTTTGCTACACTTTCTACTAAAGTTTGCCAAATTTTCTTTGTGAAGAGTACAAGGCACCCTTGTTTTTAAAAATATCAGCCCGTTTCAATATTTTGTAAGTGAGATAGCGGTATCGTTAAAATTAAGCTTGGAAACCCTGAATAAGCAAAATAACCAATTCCAAGCAAAAGCTTAAACTTGTCGGCCCTGTTGATGACTCCTCCCTATTTAAAAAGAATTCAATTGAAGTAATGTGGTGAAGTGTAATAATTTTGTTGATGTGTTGATAAAAGAACCCTCTATTTTAATCTATAGCCTTAAACTGTAAGTTTACTTTTTAAATTCCTGAGACGTACTTCACCTTGAGAAGAATCAATTTTGCTAGTCCTTTATAAGGCTAAGAAAAACCTTTTGAAAATCTATCCGAGGTCTTTTTCAAACTCCTAAAACTAGATAAAATTAGTTTGGGAATTAATGGTTGTAACTCGTTTTTTCATGTAAAAGTTGATTAACAGCTAAAATTTAAGTGGTCTGTCAAACTTGGTAAATTTAAAATCTCACCTTTTGTTTTCATATTTTGCATGAAATGTGTACTAAACTAAGAGAAAGGAAAATTACACACAAATAAGCAGTGTCCTGGTTTTCTTTTGCTAAGGAATAATAAAAACTGTTGTTTACGCGTGAATGTGGAGAGCCACGGAAATGCCACCATGCTCCATACAACAAAAAGAGTATGTATTTATTTATTTGTATAAGTATGTACATATGCATGTTTCAGTGAACTGACAATAACTCGTAAAGATGGTATGAATTTTGTCAGTGATTCCCCCCATGCATATAAGTACATTAGGGTGGTCCTTAAATGTAGGAAGTACATTTTTTCACCAGATTTCCTTAGCTTCAACTCCTACGCCGATGCTACTATAGTCGAAGATATCATATCGTCACTACACACGAATAAAGGCGCGATAGTGTTTTGACGGCGAAAAAAGGCGCGTAAAAAAATTTTACGAAAAAAGATGCTTATGAAAAACTTCGGCGAAGTATGTTAAGAGTTTTTGACGCTAAAGGTTTTTTATGCGTCTTTTTTCGCCGTCAACTTTTGAGCTCGCGCCTTTATTCTTGTCTAGTGACGATATATAAATTTTGGTCAAAGTTCAGATTACCCTATGAAGACGTCTAAACCGACTCCAATCGGGACCTAAATTACATTTGATTTCCTTGACTTTAGTAGTATTGATTTTGGGTTTTAAATGAAAAAAGATATTTTTAATTTTTTCAGTCCATAGAAGAATCTGGATTTGACCACTAATCGACTCTAATTGGGACAAAGTTTATATGTGATATCTTCGGCAGTGGTAGTATCGATTTTGGGTAATAGATGAAAAAAAATAATAATGTTAATTTTTTGAGTCTCTATAGAGGAATCTGAAATTTGACTCTGTGTGACACGCCTTAACCGTCTCTAATCGGGACCAAAATTTATATGTGATATATGTGACCGTGGTATTACCGATTGAGGGGTTAAAACTGAAAAAGATCGTTCATTTGATTTAAGGACCACCCTTAGGTACATATACATGTACTTGTATATCAAGAACTAGGACATGACCAATACAGGTACATATATATCTCTCCATTCCCTTTTTTAAAGGTACTCTTGCCAGTGAGCAAAAAGATCTAGTTTGGAATTTTATGGTAGCAATATACTTGAAAAGTTTTTAAAAATAAGGCAGCAATTTTGTCAAGATATCGGATGAAAAATCATATGTATTGAAAACCTTATTGTGTAACCTTAATACTTTTTAAAACTTTGGTTTGCTTTTTACAATATGAGTTGAGGCCAAAATCGCTCCGTCGGATACCGTAATAGGCATGAATATGAAAAAATTTGTTTGGTTGAAATACTTATAAATATGTATACAATCACAAGATTTGTTGTGATTGATGTTGCTCAGGCTGCAGATTTAAAACGTGCACGTGTCCACCTCGAATCGAATGCTTGTTCTAGATTCTGATAACCTAGGTACTCAACAAAGAAACTTAGTGCAATCAGTTTTTACTTTCTTTCCACAGACTTAGCTAATCAGATTTATGTACGAGCGGGCACGAGCACGGAGCGAATTCCATGGGGCATCTACATGCACTCAGATAAAATACATATGCACATATCTATGTATGTGCATTAGGGTGGTTCAAAAATTAATGTGTAAAGTCGGAATTTGTATGCTCTCAACCACTAGATTTTTCTATACCGAAAAAAATATAACACTATTTTTTATTTTGCAGTAAAAAAATATTTAGAGAAAGTTTTCCAAGTATGTATTTTATATCGGGAAACAACAGCATTTCGTGGAAATGGTATTAAATTCTTAAAATTCAATAATTTTCGATCGGAAGACTCTATTTCTCTGCAGGAGGTTCCCTACACTAATACCAAATTTTTTATTTAACCATTAATAACTTTAAGACCTCCAAAAACCCCGAGCAATGCAATGGTAAAATAAACAATTTGGTATTATCATTGAAAGTTTCCAGAAGAGAACCAGAGTTTTTTGAACGAAAAATATTGATTTTCAGGAATTCTATATCATTTATGTGGAAAGTTTTTTTCCATAAAAGTTTTTGAGCGCCTTGAGCGACGTCTTAATATTTTTTTATTTCGAAATAAAAAATAGGGGTATAATTTTTTCGATATAGAACAATCCTATGGGGGTGATAGCATTAAAATTCCGACTTTGCTTTTTTCGACCACCCTAATGTTCATACATATGTATATGTCACATGATTTTCTGCAAAATTAAGAGACAGTCTTGCAAAGCGCTAGTTCCGCCCTACATATTTCAGAACTATCTCAGCAAAACGGCTGCAGAGTGGGTCAGTTGAAACTTGAGGTGTGCTAGTTACGCTGTCATCAAAGTTTCTCACATTTAGCATGTGAAAGCTGAGAAGTAAATGTACAAATTTCACTTATCGTACACTCCCAGAGAAGACCTCAGATTCTAACACCACTGGTCGCGAGCTCAAATCGCGGTGGAGGCAGTTTCAATCTGCAAAAGAAAATAAAAAACTAAGATACATATATACAAAACCGCGTCTTAAACTTTTTTCCCATAAAAAACTTATTGTGCCAGATCTGTCCAAAATGGAACCAGTTCTGAACGAGTTCTAAAGTTCTGCCGAGGGGAGACAATTTTCACTTCGTAGGACATCGCCATGTTTAAAGATAGTTGAAAGCATTGATTTGGGAAAGATTAAGAACCAGTAAAGGCCCTAATCAAGCTAGTTTAGGGCAAGTACTGAACCAGTTTGATTTGCTGCATGGCTCCCTGTAGAGAAACCTCGAACGGCTGAACTAAATTTATAGTTTAGTACTAGATCTTCATCGCAAAAAACGAACCTTTCCAATAGTAACTAGATCGCCACCAGTTCAAAAGCACAGATGTTGTACTTAAAATAAAAATTATTTTTAGAAATCTATATCTAAAATGACGAATTTAGAACTGGTTCGAAACTATAGAAAAAAGTATGCAGCGGGGACTTGTTTACTTTAGATGGTGCTTTGCTTAGCGGGTTTTTCGTTCAAATACGCTTTATTTCTGCACTTCGAATGCTTTTTCATAGTTTGGTAATACAAAATTAAAATTTGTGTTAACATTTTAACATTTGGGAACTTCTGGAATCTAACCAATAACAGCAAGCACTTCAGCTACAGCACAATTCGATTTATATTCATTCACACAAATTCGATTTGAGATTGAAAACACATTTCATTGCAAATAGTTAAACATCATGTATCCATTTGTGCGAGTACACAAATAAAACTAAAAGCCCAATTATGCAAGACTTATACTTGACTTGACTTGAAAATTATTTATGTGGCAAATGAGACGCGCATGTATGTAGTTACCCTAAAGACCAACTTCACTAAGAAACTTGGAGAACAATAACATTTTGACTTCCAAGTTAAATTTCTAAGTTCAAAGAGAGCCGTGAGAGAATCATGCTGCCATTTCATTTTTTCATAAAATCCCTACAAATATACCACATAAATATAATTTTTTGTATAAATGTAATTCATCTGGCAACCGAAAAACAAACAAAGTTAAATTCAGTAAGTTTATACAAAAACAACATTTCAGTTAAAAAACACTTCTGCGCGAACTTTTGCTTCTTCTAGATTACCTAGCGCAAAGTTTTTAATACAAATAAAATAATACCATCAATTGAGACCAAATTGCTTTGACTCTAAGATAAATCAATAATAACAAATAAATATTTTGCTAAGTATTTGGCAGAGCTTCTCCTCTAATTTGTGGTGCGCGTCCTGTTGGACCTACAGTTTTACGTCGCCTCCGAACGGCAATTGGTTTTTATTGCCTGTCAAGGGGCGAACACTTTTAGAAAAACACATTTCTAATTTTAAATACTGCTCGGGCCACCGATGGAACGAGGTCGCATGGAGTGGTAGTACACACCTCTCTAACTACCCATCTACAGCGAGCGTTTCTAAAATAAGCCAGTAAAAAAAGGTATTTACCATCAAAAAGTGTTCCATTTCTGATTTTAGATTCATCATCGAAATGGACTTGCAAGTTTTTTATTCGAATTTCCACTGCAGCATACCCTCAAAATATATATGTTGCATTAGGGAATGCACTGTCAGCATCTAAGCAGAGTTTTCCTTTGTCTTTTTACCCATTTTGTATATTTGTATATATCTGTATTCAAACACATACCAAACACATTCAAACACATTTATACTCATATAATCTCTGAGTTATGGTGCATCCATTTGCATTACCACCACATGAAACAAAAACTAAGATTTTAGTAAAAAGCTTAAAGCGATAGCATGCATGTACATACATATTTACATACATATGTATATGTGTGTTTGTTTTGTTAAATAAAAGCGTGTTCTCATGACAATGAGGCTTAACTACACGTGCATATGTATGCTGGGAAGGTAATAATAAATTTCAACAATATAAATTTTCATTTAAAATTTCAAAATTTGTAAAGCAAAAAAATGTTTGTATGTTTAAAGAATGAATGGTAGCAAGGATTTATGGCGGATTATAGCGCATTTACTTCTACTTACTTTTTGGTCGTACTGTTTGTTGTTAGTAAGCAGTATTTCGTTGTTTTTAATTGCGAATTTATATGTTAATGAAGCGTTATTTGCGTAAAATATGAAAGATGCAGAAGAGACATAAAAGGAAAGAGATGGAAATGGTTGATTTAATTAAAAATACCGGCAACTTAGGCATATTTGTAAATACATATATATATATATACCTCGAAATATTGTACATATCGACTGCTGAGTGGAAGATCGACTTATCTCGGCAGCCAGCTCGAAAACGCTCTATCTCAAAAAACTTTTCAAGAACGGCCTATTTTAGAATTCTTTTCTAAAACGCCCTATCTCAGCTGCCGATTCAAAAACGCCCTATATCAACACATTTTCAATACATTTTGAAGTGAGATAGGGCGTTCTTCAACCAAATTCTGAGATAGGGCTGTTTTTCAATAAATTTCTGAATTAACGCGTTCTTGAAAAGATTTTTGAGATGCGCGATTTCGAACTGGCTGCCGAGATAGGTCGATCTTCCACTCAGCAGTCGATATGTACCTATGAGACATTCTTTTTCATATCGGACACCAAATTTGGTGGCACTCTTACGAGTGAAATAAGCTATCACGTGTTCGAGGATTTTTTTTATATATTTTTTTCCTTCGGAGATATGATCTGTCAATGTTTGCATTTTTTCGTTACTCTGACTTATCATGTACTACTTCAAATCATTATATCTCGGGTTGTGTGCATCGTAGAGACTTTATCGTTTTAAAGCTAGCAAAATTTCTGAAAAGGTATCCAAAAAAGGAAAAAAGTTTGTGGCAGAAACGGATACGTTTCTGGCTGTTTTTCTGAAATTTTCCTTATTAAATTTTTCATTCACTACGCTTTTCATGGTTCGAAAACAAAAAATAAGCAAGTAAGAGCAGCGCTGTCTTCGGCTATGCCGAACGCTTCATACCTTTCATGAACATCAGAAAATTTTACTTTAACAGATTATTACATTTGACAAAATTTTTATATTCACAGCATACATAGGTAGATGAGTTACATATATAAAAAATCACATCTAAACAATCAGAGGTATGGAAGATATACCTTATAATGATGAATGAAAGTAGAGCCAAATTTCATTTTCCTAGCTGCATAAATGGAGGAGTTACAACAAAGAATCTCATATCTGAACAATCACTTGTATGGGGGCTATAGGTTACATTGACCTGATTTTTGTAATTTTCACTGCAAGTATTCTGTTAGTAATGGGTGAAAATAGTACGAAATTTCAAGTTCCTAGCTGCATAAATGGAGAAGTTATAACGAAAATTCGCATATCTGAACAATCAGTTGTATGGGTGCTATATGTAATAGTGGCCCGACTTTTCCGGTTCCGACAAATGATTAAAACATTCTAAAAATACACTTAAATATTTATCAAATTTCAGTCCGGTATCTCGAAAACTGAGAGACTAAGTTGCATACAAACAGACGGACAGACGGACATGGCTAAATTGGCTCAGCTCGACATTCTTATCATTTAGTATACATTTTCATGGGTATCTTCTTATTCTGGTACTTACAAACATCAGACCGAAGTTTCAATACCATTCTGTGCTCATAAAAGGTACAAAAAATAAGGAAGCGCCTGACGGCATTCAAATTATCGGAAATAGCCTCCCAATATTTATAAAAGAAGTAAAGCCCAAAAGAAAATCAATAAGAAAAAAATGCATTGCCTATCAAAATCCACTTGTAATAATTTGAAATATAGGCAGAAGCGAATCGTTAGCTTAATTCACAAAGGCCCTAATCAACACATATTTCAAAACTGCGTTTTTCACAGGTTTTAGTAGGATGTATTAAAATACACTTTCAATAAAAATTTTAAAGTGTTAGTACCAAAAACAACGGAGTTACAGGACACTTTTTAGAAAGCCCGAACTATTTTTGATACTCTTTTATAATAGGAGTATTCTCTGAGTCTTGCAAAGCCCTTGCATGGTGCACAGATTTCACGGATTGCACGGTTAAAACCGGTTTTCGTATGGGACAGCTTTGCAAACCGTGCAATCCGTGCACCGTGCAAGGGCTTTGCAAGACTCAGAGAATACCCCTAATGTTTTTTGCTTCTGTCAAATAAAAAAATTGTTGGGCCTTTGTGAATTAAGGTAACAAAATTCCAAAAGTTTACTCGATACTAATTTTTTATCGCTGATTCCGTATTCCATTATATATTTTTCTTATTTGTTAGAGCTTGCGAAATATTACGAAATTGGCGAATTTTCGGTTGCAAAATTTGGAAATACCTATTTTTTCATAATATGGAAAGCTACATGCTATTGGTAAAAATGTTTTAAGCATAATTCGACAAAATATATTTTTCAACAAAAACAGGAATTTTTCCGAAAAATTTTCAAAATCATTTCATTGTAAAACGCATGATTTAGACTCAATTCCGCATATTGTTTCAAAGAGTCAAGGTGGTATGTAAAAAATTGTGGATAATATCGCAAGTGTGCGTATTTTCGCGCTATGAGGAGGGGTTGGAGTGTTTAGGACATTTTCAAAAAATTGTGTCGGGTTTGCATCACACAAAAATGGCAGTCCTTATTTTCTTCCATATAAAAAGAAATTTCCAGCATTGTCGAGCACCCTTTATATGGAAGAAAATGCATAACACCGTCAGCCAAACAAATTATTAAGAATCAACGCAATCTTCTAGACGTCTTTAAAGTTGTACTTTAACCTACTATTGGGTTATAAGACCGTATCTCTCTCTCTGTGATTTTCTTTAACAAATCAAATTCGTGAAATATAAGAAAAGATCACCGAGTATTTTTTTGGAGCTCATAAATTTAAACCTTTTTTGTAAGTAGCAAATTTTATTATTATTTACTTTTTTTGTAGACGAAATGTTTCTTATATCGCGAAATACAGCGGCCAGCTGCGGCGCCCATACATTTCTTTTCTATTTTGAACATGACTCCCAAAATTTCAAAACGGTAAATCTATGACTTTTGGCTGTCGACTCCTAAAAATGAAAGACTTGATGGAATAATAGATTTTGTTTGTGGTAATATAAGTTTAAGACCTAATGACAGATATGTTGTGGAACGATTTTCTGTCATCCCTTGTCAAATTTGGTTTGGAGAAAAACCGGTTTCGGTGTTGTGCCATCTTCAGTATAATTTTTCGTTCAGAAATTAAACGCCGAAGCCGGTTTGCCTCCAAACCAAATTTGACAAGGGATGACCGAAAATCGTTCCACAATATATCATACTCCTGCCCTGTCGGAAACACCAACAACCAAAATGAGAATCTAATGATAGAATTTGATAAATTAAAATCATATTTTCGAGGCCTAACTCAGAAATTAAGCCTAAAGTGGACACAAGTTTTCCCAAAAAGAAAGCGGTTTTTTACCATAAATAAAGATTGGCTCGAATTTCAAATAGACTTGTCCCAATTTTTATGTTCTAAGTTTGGTAAGACGACTTCTTCTGCTGGTTGGCCAACTAAATTTTGAGGATTGTTGCCAAAAATTTAAAATGAAGAAGGATCCACTTTTTTTGACCACTCAAGTATTACTGAAAAATCGACGCTGGTTTTTGTAAATTACACTTGTTATATCGCCAAAGTCATCACCAAAAAAAAATTAAAATTATTAAAAATCAATACGATTGACCGCTTAAATCTTGAACCCGTTTAACTAGAATTTCATAGCCGACGTTCCTGCATAACCATAATTTTCCTAAAAACTGTGATTAAAAAGTTTAAAATTTTATTGAACTTGAGGCTTTTTTCTAATGAAAAAATTGTGTGGAAAACTACAACAATTTACATATGGTAGAAGCTATAGCTATTATTTCGGATATCATCGCAAATATTTAACAAAATTTACTATGCACTCATTTTAGATCCCCGGTGTACCTCATATTATCTTATTGAATTTAGTAAAACTTAATTAATTTGTAAGAAATATGAAATTGCATTATAATGTTTATGTTTATGCCGTGCGCAAGTACTTACAAAACGATTTAATAAATTGATGAAAACTTTAAAGACTTTTTAATTTTATGGTAAATAGGTAAGCGGGTCGCTATTCGATCTTGCCCATTCCATGACCAGAAGAATTCATTCAAACATAATTTGTGCAAACTTTCATCCCGATATCTATCTTAGTTCTTAGAATAAAAATTAAATTGCGTTACTAGAGCAAATTGTGCAAATTGTGCAAACTGTGCAGTGGTCCATGTGCTGTACGGGAGGTTTAAATACTGCTGCTCTTGATGCTGCGCTACATTTACCATTACCATAAAATAGCGAAATAGGCAGGAAAAGGCACTATAAATCGCAAAAAAGGCAAAAGAAGGCATTAAAAAATTAAAGGAAAATATCTTAAAAAAGGCAAAAAAGGGCAACATCAAATGTGCATATATGGAATAAGGGAAAGCTAAATCGTGAACATTCGTAATCGAATATACTCTATTCCTTTACCAGAAAAAGGCAATTTACATAAAATCCGATCCCTGACCATTACTTTGCACGTTTACATGAATACATGGAGAGGCCTTAACACTAGTAAGGCTCAAAAATCAACATACATTGAAAGACAAATAGGGGTAGCTTAACCAAACTCTTTTAAAATTAATTTTAGTAACAAAAATTTCTGTTTAAACTTATTCTTAAAAAAATATATATATATATTTACATTTTTATATTCTTATTTCTGTAAAAGTTCGGTTATCAAAATGTGCCAATTAAGATGCCGTGCAATAAAGCCATACATCGGTAATAATGCCATATTCTTTATTTCACTTTACATTGAGAAATAAAGCCATATTCTTGCGTATAGTCTTGGAAGTGAAATAAAGCCATTATGGCGTTATTACACCTTTGAGAAATTTTTGTGTAATGTTTATCTAGTGCACAGCTAGTGTGCATATGTACATAAAGTAAGTCGGTAATTCTCTAGTAATTTCCAAAACAAAAAAAAACGTCCCAAACTGTCAGGAGGGGTACCAATCGGCGCATTT